ACATACACAACGTGGACAGACGACGATGAACAGGGCGGAGCCGAGCTGTTTGCCATGGAACAGCAGTTTTCGACGTCTAAAGTGACTGGTGCGCAATCCCGGTTGTCCTCATCTTCAGGTACTGACTAACATCACCCGTCGACAGTCGAGTATTTCGATCCTCACGATGTCTTCAAGTTGCTGAACCCGGGGCTCGTCCCGCGCCTACCTCTACACAACCTACACTGGCAATCGCACGCCGGGCCCCTAAGATCCATCGATACCCTACACGTCGAGCTTGTCCAGGGAGACGGAGACGTCGAACCGGCATCCGCCACGTCCACTCACCCTCCGCTGCGACGATCCGCGAGCACCGCCGACGATGGCTTCCAGACCCAGAACGTAGGCGCTCGCGCCGCTTCCACCGAACAGGTCGACACACATTCCCTTCCGTCGAGGACCGTCGGCAGTCTGCGACGCCATCAGATCCCCGGCTTGCGCCGCACTCCCTACCTCAAGGTGCTGCTGGTGCGATGCGACGACAGCGACTCGTACAAGACCTCAGTCCGGTCGGAGATTAAAGAATGGATCAAGACGAATACGCCGCCATCGGGGAGCACGAAGAAGACCAGCAAGAAGGAGAAGCACGATGCGTTTGAGTACTTGATTATACACGTGGTCATCCCGAACACCGTGGCCGCGACACAGCCAAGGAGCAGCAACAGATCCGATTCAGGGCCGTCGGAAAAGGCAACCTCACTATGGCGCTCGGGCTCGACTCCTCTCTTGGAGAAGCTGCGGACCGATTTCGGCGGTACTGGCAAGTCGGCTATGGACCGCATCGCCCAGATTCGAATCGGCATCAACGACCTACCATACGATCTGCTTCCAAGAGTTGTTCCTGCCGTTCCAACGGGTTATTCGGAAAACGAAAACGACGCCGAGAATGCCTGGCGCGAGCTGGTGGCGAAGATCAAAACCCTGATCCTGAGCTCATTCGACATGAGGGTTACCCAGTATGAAGAAGATATCAAGGAAAAGGATGGACAACGAAGCCTTCCCGGCTGGAACTTCTGCACCTTCTTCATTCTCAAGGAAGGCCTCGCACGAGGTTTTGAGAGTGTCGGCCTTGTCGAGGACGCGCTGGTGGGCTATGACGAGCTCAGCGTTGGCTTGGACTCGGTGATCCACGAGCAAGCCGCTGAAGGATCCCCAGAAAGTCATGGGGGCGCCATGTTAAATTACACAGACGAGCTGAAAATGACTGTGGAGAAGGCTATTGCTAAGGTTTCCGGTGGGAGTGTCGACGACGAAGAGGCGGTCGACCTTCAGTCAGACGAGACAGCTAGGGATCACTTTGAAGAGATACCCATCAGCGCGACCAAGAAGGCATACCGAGATATGATACTGGCAAACAACGTCTCGGTATTTGATTTCCGTTGTTACATCTTCGCGCGACAAATCACCTTATTGCTACGGCTCGGCAACGCCTGGTCAACTCGGGAGGAGCTGTTGGCCAAGCTGAAGGAGCAACAGGAGTCTGTCCTCCACGGTGTAGCCCCTTTGGCTCCCCCGCCCAAACACGCCGAGGAGGCGGAAAACCTAGCGATGCTGGCCGAGATATGTCGAAGGACTCTGCAGTTCATCCCGTCGGTATCTCAGGTTATGCGCCACGATATCCTTGCGTCCATGATGCCACAGAAGAACGGAGATGACAAAGGCGAGGACGACATTTATCCTCATCTGACAGAAGTTGTGGACAACCTGGTTGCTTCTTTTGCGTTCTCCGTTGCCCAGCAGATTCTCGCCCAGACGTCGTCAAAAGCCCTCCCAATCCCTCCTTCCACCCTCTCCCCAGCCGATTCCCATGAGCAGAAGGCTTCAATCCCCGAGCCGAAAACGATGATGCATCCTGCTCGAACCTCGTCTCTCAGCGTTCGCACAAGCCCACATCCATCGCAACCTCCGCTGAGCCCGGGTGTTTTCCCGGGACCTGGCATGCCGCCCATCGACGATAACGGTCAGAATGCGCAATTCCTCAAGACCGGTCTTGAGGACCTGGCAGCCAGGCGTGCAGAGCTTCACATGCTTTCGAGAAGCATCCTCGATGGCTTAGGGAAGAAGCGCGGGTGGAGTGATGGATGGGGCGAAGCACCCGTAATGGGAGAGGGAGACGAAGTCGACTTTAAGGAAGTCAGCCTTGATGACGACTCGCCGTCTCAAGATGAAGCAGCCACTTTAGTGAACTCGACACCTTTGTTGGCAGGTATCCAGAGTCACCTCCTAGAAACTGCCTTGGACGACTCAGAAAACTTCTACCGGCTTTACGAGATCCTGACCGACAAGGCGCTGCGGCACTATACCGTGGCGAACCATGATCACGCTGTACAAGCGAATATGGCCGACCTCGCCGTGCTGAAGTTCTACCTCAAAGAATACGGTGCAGCCGCATCCTACTTCTATCGAGCCACTCCGTTCTTTGGGGAGAGTGGATGGAGCTCGCTGGAGCTGTCCATGCTGGTCATGTACCTGCACTGTCTTCGCGAGCTCAAGTCAAAGGACGACTACGTTCGCGTCGCTCTCAAACTACTAACCAAATCATGTGCCGCCGAAAAGGAGCGACTCGAGCTCAAGTCTAAAGCCATATCGAAAATCTCCAAGACGGATATTCCCGATGCGTCGTCAATGAAGGGCATCGTAGGAAACCTCTTCGACCTTGCGTCTTCGCTTTCTACCCAGGTCAAGGTCCATCTGTCCAACTTCTTCACCGATATCGAACTCGCCGGGGCACCAGATTACTACGACAATGAGGACAGGTGCTCGTTGACAATCAATCTGCGAAGTCTGCTTCCTGATGAGATCAAGCTTGACGGTGTGTCGTTGAGGGTCTCCGCGACTGAGTCTGGCCCAATAAAGGAGCTGAGGTTTGCGAAGCGAGAGGACATCGTGCTCAACCCTGGTCCAAATAGCATCAAACTCGACTGCACGGTAAGTAATACTCTGCAGATTCACCTGAAATAGCTAATCAATGCCCAGACGCTCGTTGCTGGGAAGTACAAGGTCGATCATCTCGGGTTATCCTCGAGCAATCTCTTCCTCCACTTCGAGCGGGACGTCAACCACACTCCGCCTCAGAATGCGGATGTCTTCAAGCATTCCGACGTAGTGCTATTCCAACGTACTGGGGCACTCGATGTCCAGCTCACAGCGACAAAAGACACTGCGCTGGACAAGAACAACTCACTTGACCTAACGCTGAGTTCCGGATGGAACACGCTGAAGACGTGTGAGATCCGAGTGAAGCCTGCTACAGGCGGGCTTCGGCTCTTGACCCCCGAAGCTAAGATGATTGTCTCGTCGGTGGAAGTCGCCAAACATCCCGAAGCAGGTGTTTTTCACCTCGAGGACATTGCCGCAAACACAACTGCCATTCTTCGCTTTCCTTATTCGGTGGAGCAGGACATCGGCGACGTGTCGGCCAAGGTCGAGGTATCATACACTACCGAATCGGGCGAAAGGTTTTTTTTTGCCAAGTTCATGGTGATTCCCATCTCCCTGGCGCTTGGCGTCAACGTCCAAGACGTGTTTAAGCATCGGGTGCTTCTGTCACGATTCAACGTGTCGACGTCGAGCACCAGCCCATTGCGGCTGTATCAGAGTGAGCTACTCCCTTCAGACATTTTTGAATCCGAGTTTGGAGTTCCATCGAACAAGACAGTCATTGTCTTTCCCAAACAGCCGGCCACTTTACTCTACAAGGTCACGAGGAAGGTCGGGGTCAAGGCCACTAAACGGTCTGCCAAGACTATGTACTTGAAGTTGCACTACAGCGTGCTGCAGGAAGAGATTGAGAGGCTGTTCGCCGCGTCCATTCTTGAAGCCCTTGAGCCGACGCCACTAGGGCAGTACGCCAGACTTATCTCAGCAGCCGTGATCCAGGAAATCAAGTCAGGCTTACAGGCGCAAGACCTGGAGCGGGCTACGTTGCTGGGTTCAGTGGCGACGGCGTTTCTCGCAGATGTCAATTGGGGCCGTTACTTTACTGGTATCGGTCGGGTCCCTGGCACGCAGGATAGTGCGGCAGAGAGCATCGCCACGCTGCTCGAGGAATGGCAAAAAGCTCACCCTCGACTGCCCATCACAGAATATCCGACGGACATGGCGAGCACCATCCTCATCCCGGTAGAGATTCCGTCCCTGCCGATTGTCCATACGGCCGACATCCGCGTCCAGAAGCCACTCGCTACTCTGGTGGACGAGAAGCCTGGGGCAACTCCTACAGTGAGCATCAACCAGATGCTACCGGCCACACTGCAGCTCAAGTGGACGCAGATCTGGGACACGGAGACGCAGCACAAGGAGGACCAGGAGTTCAGCTACGAGGTGACGGCACCGGTGGACACATGGCTCCTGGGCGGGCGTCGCAAGGGCCACTTCGTCATCCCCGGCTCCACGGGCGAGCCGCTGTCCTCGCAGCCGGAGGCAGAGGCGGAGATCCCGCTGGTGCTCATCCCACTGCGCGACGGCTGGCTGCCGTATCCCAGCGTGGACATCCGCGAGGTCAAGGACGCGCCGGCGGTGGCGAACGAGAGCCCGCCGATCTGCGAGGTGGACCTGCGGAACCTCGGCGAGACGGTCCGGGTCGTCGGCGAGCGCAAGTGGGTGACGGTCAGTCTGGATGCGAGCGGCGCTGGAGGCGGGCCGTTGGTCTTGGAGAGCGAAGGGTTGGGGAGGGGGAAGGGGAGGATCGTGGCGTAGTTGTAGACGGGATGATAAGCGCATATGACTTAGTTTAGAGATAATATCCAAATCATTTGTCTAAAGCCGTTTGCTTGCTGCGGTGCGTTCCTTCGGGTGTCAGCTGTTTAGTTGAACTAGCAGTGAGACGAGTCAACCAGTAGCATGTAAGAGAATCCTGATGCAGCCAGCAGCATGCCAGTGTGACAGCTCATCCCTGTCACGTTCTACGTATTCCCACTGTGCGTATATCCCGCATTATCGCCTCGATTTCCAATCAACCAGCCCGCTTGGCCCAGTGGTAAGGCGTCCCACTCGTAATGGGAAGATCGACGGTTCAATTCCGTCAGTGGGCACTTAAATGGGAAACAATCTCTCCCGGGAGCGTCTTTTTTGACGTTTTGTGTCTTTTTATTCTGCAGTTCGTTGGTTTGTTTGTGTTGGTCGAGATAGGGAACTCTATCAGTGGCGCGTTGGTACCAGCCCTTGAGCCGCTGTTTCTAAGCAGACCTGCGTACGGCGGTGTCCGATCGTCCTTGCAATGAGAAGACGTTGCCAATTGGAAGGCGGATGAACTTGATGCTCCTCCTATCTATCACATTCTGAGTAAGAGTCATGTTCTTGGAGAATCCCAAAGCCTCAAAGGAACAAACGGGCGCCCCCGTAAAGCCGTGCCTATACAACACATCATATATGCGACCACGACTGGCTACCATACCACCAACCGACAAGCGACTCGGGAAAACACCACACCTCAGTCAACGCCAAATCTAGAACCCGGCCGTTCGCCCCACATACCCGACCGCCCGGACATGAGCGCCGGTTTTGGCTTTCCTGGCTGAGGGAAACTAAAACTTAGGCTAGGGCTAGGCCGGAGCCATAAGACACAGCTGAAAGATGATGGAATGACTAGCCTCCCCGTCCACGGTTCTGGAGCGATCTTAGCACGCCCGGTTGTGGCGGTGAGGCAGATTATTGCAGTCTGGTGTATGCATATGCGCGGTTTTAAATATCGCGGAGAAAGTGTTCCGTCGGTTCGTAGGAGTTTTTAGATCTTGATACCCGGGATCCTCATCGCGGGGAAGGGCCCGACAGCGCGGACTTGGATCACTGGCTGCCCCAGGGTTGTATTCTTCTTACGGGCCTCGTCATGGAAACAATGCGGCTAGTCGTGGCATGGACGCATGAGTCGTAACGTGAGTCGTAGCATGGCATGGAAACTTTGGCGTACCAGTACGTGTCTCATGATTCACTCAAGACCTCATGACCACAACATCTCCGTGTCATCTGGTCGCAAGGCTGGTCGTAAGGGGGACTTGGCCGTACTGCACTGTTGGAGACCAGAGGAATTGACACATTTCACTAATTCATCATCAAACACCATCTTTTTTCACAAGCCTCACTCCGTACTGACGCTGACATGTCAGTAACCCAACCGAATAAGTCCCCAATAGCCTCCACTCCCACCTTGTTTGTCTACCAACCGACAAAAGCCATGCTGAGCAATAATGATACCAAAACAGAGAAGGATGAAACATGAAAACAACCGCGAATGCCCTCCCGACTTTGGGAGTAGTCCTAGTTCCAAAACGCCCAATCTGTCCCCTGGGGTCACACCGTCCCAGGTGCCGTGAATGGATCGTTCCGGTATGCAATTCCAGATTAAAACAATGCTCCAATATGCGTCCTCGTCCTCGTCCTCCGCCTCTGATGCCTTCATGCAGAGCTGTGGTCCGGAGGTTCGTTATGCGTTAATATACAGTTGAGAAGTTTGTGTGTTGGCACCCGTCTAGCCTGAAAGCGAGGGTGGTAAAAAGTAGTTGTTGCGCAACGGCGCGGGTATCATGCCCTCTCGAGGGCCCCGGAGAAGTGTGAATCCAAGATGAAGTGTTCATGTTTCGGAAGGTCGTGTGGGAGGTCGGCTACACAGCTCCCGCGAGCCACGAGTGGTTGCGTGCTCATATCCTTCCAAAACTTGCGAATAGGGTTAAGGTGGTCTCGAGTTTCCAGGCGGTCGCGACATGCATCGTCTCCTTTCTAAGTACGGCATGGTCTGCCGAATGACCTCATTTCTTGCCTCGACTGCCTGAAGCTGTAATTTTGCTGGTGCTCATCAAGTCACCGATGTACTTTTGCAAGAACTTGTTGTTGTTGTTGAGTTTGTCATGCTCCTCGCGCACGGCCTCGATGCGGTTGAAAATGGTGAGCAGAGAGTCTTGAAGAGCTTTCGCATGTCTAGTGACCAAATTAGTGACTGGTCGCGAAGGCAGGGGAAAAAAAAAGTCCAATGACTCACCTCTGCATCTCTTCTCTGGCTTGCTTGCCGATCTTGTCGAGATCCTCGCTCGTTCGTCGGGGGCTCATTGCCCTGACGTCATCCGGCCCAAAGTGAGCATCGACAGGGCCAACCGCGGAGCTGTCACGGGGGACGGCCAACGGTCCACTGCTCTTCCGGGTAGGCAATCGCGGGCGGGTAGGAATGGGCTGGTGAATGACGGGCTCGTTGGGAATGATGGGCTCGTTGTGGTCGGAAGGGCTTGTGGAGGTTGAAGAGTCGGATCGCGCAATGGGATGGGGCTGGCCCGAGGAGCCAATGGACTGGGTGTCGTTGTCGTCGGCCATGGTGTCAGAGGCGCGATGTTTGGGTAGAAGCGGTTGGAGGGATGGTGGGTTGGATAATCGATGTCTCAAGCCTTGGGGTCAAGACTGCGAGACGGGGAGGTGATATTAGAGGAGTCGAGGAGATCGGGCGATGTCGTCACCGGTGGCACCGAGGATTATGCTCTGGAATATTTGCCACAAACAGGTACTGAGACGAGTGACAGAAATGTCAGACGCAGACCGGGTTAGGGCGCGGATTAAGAGCGGCGAGGACGAGGCAATGAGGCGTGGGTCGGGTCGAGGTCGCGTGCGCTGATGCGGCGAAAGGGCGAAGAAAAGAGGCGAGGGGATGCGGCGAGGGGATGCGGCGAAGTGAGGAGGCGGAGGGAGCTGAAGAGGGGCGAGGCGATTCCCAATTCCAATAGTTCCACGTGGTCTCGGGGTCTCGATCTCGTAGTGCGATGCGCGATGCGCGATGCGAGCGCCTGGGGGAGAGGCTCTGTCTGGGTTGGTTGAGTGAGGGTCCACCGCTAGTAGACTCGGCACAGATCCGGACGGGGGAGAGGGGAGAGAGTGAGAGTTGAGAAGTGAAGAGTCGGAAGAGGACGAGAACGAGAGACAAGGCCGGATAGAAACTAGAGAGAGAGAAGTGTCTCTCTGTTGTTTCGTTCGTTTGCGTGCCTGCGTGCGTGCCTGCGTTGCTTTGGGGAGAAGGGTTTCGGGGTGAGAGTGCGCGAGTGTGGTCGGAAATGAATGAGTCTTGTCTCCTTGGGGGGGTTGGATGTTTTTGGCGGGCGGGCGGTCAAGGAGGCGCTCGTGAGTCGCGGGCGTGGGCGAGCAAGTGGAGGGGCCCAACTGAGATGGGCAAGTGCGAACGACGAGGTCCGTCCTTCCCTGGCCTAGCAGCGAGCACTGTGAGGGCGCTTGGTGGAGATCGGGGGTAGGTGGACAGCAGGTGGACAGCGGATGGGCAGTGATTAATAGTGGACAGTGGATAGTGGATAGTGGATAGTGGACAGTGGACAGTGGACAGTAAATAGTGGACAGTCGTCGACCCTGCAGCAACCCGAGCGTCAGAGGGAACGGGCCAAAAAAGAAGGGGTCCAGGGTTCCAGGGCTCCAGGGCTCCAGGGCTCCAGGGCTCCAGGGCTCCAGGGCTCCAGGCATGGAACAGGGAAATCAAGCCGCTGAAAAAAGCAAGACAGGCGAGACAGTTGAACCGAGCGCATGGGGAAGAAGTAGGATGGGGGACATGGAATGCTGAGGCACTCACTAGTCGGAGATACGTACTGTACTTGGTGGCACTCACAACAAATGCAGATGTGGGAGCGGATGCAGATGCAGATGCAGATGCAGGCAGAGAGAGATAGGCGCAAGGCGACCGGTGGGTTGTGAAGTGTGAGTGAGAGAAGAAGGATGAATGCAAAGAGACAAGAGGAGAGAGGGATGGATGGATGGATGGATGGATGGATTAGTACTACTACCTCCGAGCGACTGGAAGACTCGGGCCCGACAGGACAGATGAAGAGTGACGGCAGCTCTGAGGTCACTGTGGGGGAAGAAGCCAGAACAGAGAGAGAACCTAAGAAAAAAAGAGGTGGCAAGAGAAAACCAGCGACATCAGTTTGCCCGCCAGGGAGGGATGGAGAGTAGGCAAGCAGGCATCCAGACAGGCATCTATTAGTGGACAGGCATCATTGACAGGCGGGCAGCCCAAGGGGGGATGGATGGAGGCCATTCGTTGATACCCGGACTGCCCAGCTCGGCAATCCTCTCTGTACAGTGATGAAGTAGCAGTGGTCTACTGTAACCGCGACCCGTTTGATTGTGCAGTGCGTCTGCAGGATTAAAATTGTCTCCGAGTGCGCTCCTCTCCCAGCTTGCATCAGTCGGGCAGTCATTGAAGCGCCGGGCAGAGAGGGCGCTACGACACCAATTGGCACCCACCCTTCGCGAAAAGAGAGTTCAGAAAAGAAGTGGGAGGGAGGGACCCTGGAATCTCATTCTCATCGAACTTGAACCCGCCAGGGGGGGTACGAAGGTACACACATAGTGACGACAGCGCGGCAGTCATGTGGACTGTGCCCGGCCGTCGGAGGACTGCCCGATAGGTACCTGGGGAGCCAGGTCTCGGCCGGTACCCTCCCGCGCTAGCTGGGGCGGGACGGTACCTGTCTGCGCGTGCCGATCCCGGTACTCTGGGAACCCACGGTGGACGGACCACCTCTCACTCTCCGACGCCCATGAAAAAGATTGGATCCATTGCGTAGTAATTATTGCACTCCAAGCCTTTGGTTTGGATGCGCTTGTCAGACACGCAGAAGAACAAGAGTATTCGTCCTGGGAACCTACAGTATAGTACTTACTGTTGCACGGCAGTGAAACCAGCGAACCGATGGATCCCGTCTCCAGAGAGGACGAAGTGCAGGCAGGGTACTTTCATCACTGTACGCCTCCAGCCTAGGAGCACGGTACGGAGCAGAATCGGCCTTCTAAGAGACAGTGGGCTGACGAGAACAAATGCACTGTCATCGGTCCCCCCCCCATCTGTATCCGTCCCGTTTGGCAAGTCTTTGGGACGATCCCCAGTTGTCCCGGCCACTGAAGGCCACCGAGGAACTGATATGTTGCAGTGTTAAGCAGGGTCGAAACAGGGCGCCCTTCTTCACAGCCCTTTTCGACAACCCCTGACTGGACCCCTCAACCGCAAGGGTCTTCGGGTTGGGTCCCAACGACGCCCCGGTTGCTGGGCGCT